ACCAGTGAAGGCAAAACAACAATGTAGATGAAAACAAAGAATTTGGCCTGCAGGATACCCATTACTTCCTATGTCAAGAAACTGTAAGGCAGTTTAACTTCATATTTTCTCATGAGTGTATAATTTTTACTGCAGAACTTTCCATCGATGCCAATAAGATAATGGAACTCGCATAAATGGTGTTTATTCCTACCATGCATTATGGAATTTATTTGCAGAATAAACAGGTCAAAATATGTATTTACTATCATTCTTTTCTGTTTCCTGGTACTGCCTGTTCCATTTCTTCAAGTTTTCAGGAACAGGGAAAAGAAGAAAAGATTCATGATTCTTGCTCTCAACTGTGATAACTTTCCATAAAGTCACTGAATGCTCGAAGTGTGTCACTCCAGATCCATCAGAAGCGCATTATTTTCCCACCACTTCACAACCACCTAGGGACTGAAGGTGCTTGCTCCCTGGAACCCTGATGGGCTCTGCTGTGAAAGCAATGGCTTAACATTGGAGTTTGCAAGACTTTTCACATGCTAGTACTAGTATGAAGTAGCAATACATTTTAGAAATGGTTAGAAATCCCAACTGACATACAGAAGAGAAAGTACTACTAACTTCTACAGCATACCAATAGCTTTCATGTTCCTGCATGAGTGCAAGTATCTGTATCAGCGAAAAGGAAAAGAGGTTCAGATTCTGTCCAGGAGAGCACAGGTTAGCATTACTTACGCTACTATTATTCAGGAAAGGCAATAGAAGGGCAATGTTTACTTACAGAAGGGATACACTAAATGGTGCAGCATCAAAGGAAGTGTTCCAATGGGTATATTTCTCCAGTAACCACATCTCTCAAGAAATACCAGGCTACAGCAGAATGCCCAGCAAAGACATTAAAGACCTCCTACTGGCAACCTCAAAGAATTTCAACTTGAATCTTTTGCTCTGAGTAATACAAGAAAGTGCCAGTACAATTTCTACTTAAAAAGCATTTCTAGCTCCAGCAGTGCTAGAGAGAGACAGAGAGGTCTATTTTTCACTAAAAGTAGGACTGCAGCTTTACCATGTGACGTGCCACCCAAAGCTTTCTTAAATTTCATATATTTATTGATCTAGCTGCAAATTCCACTAAAGAAATGTGGAATGGACAACAAATTCTCTAGGAACTACAATTTTAACCATATTCCACACTGCTGCTTTAATTACGTAATGCAGTATTAAGCACAAACTGTTTATGCATGAAATGGATAATTTATACATCAAAAATTGTTATGATAATTGGATCACACCATCCTCTTAGCTTTTTATCTTCCATCTCTTCGAACTCTCAACTGGAGTAACAGTCAGAGAAATACCTGTTCTAGCTGGGATAACGATAAATCATATTTTTCCCACTGATCTTCCAAACACAGGGCACTTACTCTAAAGAACTGAATCAACAACCACATAAGCCTGGAGACAGAGCAATGCGTATTTCATTATCTCCCAAGTGTGATGACTTCAACAGCATTAGAGGCATGATAACAATGGGCCAAGAACAGAACACAGATTTCTGGTTGTGCTATCCTCAACTCCAGCATCATTACTGTTGTTCATTAGGGGTTTTTTCAAGAAGAGGGAGGGATATGAAGAAAATTTGCTTGTAATTTTTATCCTCTTTTATGAAAATGGTAATGTAATGTAAGCTATGAATTATCATTTAAAGCCAGTTGGTTTAACCTGACTTTTATTACAGTCTTAACACTAACTCACATGTATTAATTACAGCTCTCACTTTATCCTTATAGAATCATACAATATTTCTGGGTTGGAAGGGACGGACCTTAAAGATCATGTAGTTCCAACCCCCTGCCATGGGCAAGGGACACCTCACACTAGACCAGGTTGCTCAAAGCTCTGGCCTTCAACACTGCCAGGGATGGGGTAGCCACAGCTTCTCTGGGCAACCTGTGCCAGTGCCTCACTACCCTCACAGGGAAGAACTTCTTCCTTATATCTAACGTAGATTTCCCCTCTGCCAGTTTAAAGCCCCCTTGTGTCACGACATACCCTTGTGAAAAGTCCCTCTCCAGACTTCTTGTCAGCCCCATTAGGCTCTGGAAGTTGCTCTAAGGTCTCCCTAGAGCCTTTTTCTCTCCAGGCTGAATAAGCCCAACTCTCTCAGCCTGCCTTCACAGGAGAGGTGCTCCAGGCCTCTGATCATCTTCATGGTCCTCCTCTGGACTCACTCAAGCAGGTCCACATAATACAGAATATGAAACAGAATAACTAATACAGTGTGATCACTGAAACCCTATTTGATAGAAATATTTCAACGTTTCGAGTATTTTACAGGACTACACAGCATCCATACAGCTGTCCTTGTACTGCAGCTACACCCTTATGGGGTTTCTGGTCCACCAGATGCAAAGCTGTTGGCAAGTTCCAGGGAACCCAAAACAAAATCCACGTGGCTAACAGGCTTTGCATGCGAGACTGAAAGCACCGCCAGAGGGATGCAGGTGTGGCAGGGCGGCTGGTCTGGGCCGGTTCGGTCCAATCCAGTCTAGTCCAGTTAAGACCAGTCCGGTCCAATTCAGTCCGGACCCCGACAGTCCGCCCCGCACACTGCGCACGGCACTGTCTGCGGTGCTGAAAAGGCGACAGCAGAAACTGCCCCTGCCCCAGAGAAATCGAAGATGCTCCAGCTACAGCACCACATATCAACCACGGCCAAACCGGGTAAAGAGGATGAAAATGAAAACTCACTCCTCTCACCTCGATGTATTGCTCTCGGATCTTGGGAAGAATCCCTAATGGCTTTATGGACTTCCTTCCACACTCCCTTAAAATGCTCAGCTAATCTGGGACTGGTAAATGCTGTTTTAACTGAATGGTGGACTGTTTTCAGAGCAAACCATATGGTCAAGGTCATTTGGAATTTAACAGAATTTAATTTCAATTTAATGGAATGACTAGAGGCACCTGCTATGCTGCCAGGCACTGCTCCACTGACTTGCTTGCAGCATGGCTGTTTGGATTTCCTACCAATAAATCAAGGTCACAGACTACTGAAAAGAATGAGAAAGATTATTTCCGTTTGCTGGCACTTAAGGTCATCAGAAGTTTCTAGATATTAAGTCTGCAATCGTTGATAATTACTAAACTGTCGGCTTTTTATATCTCAACATGTTTTGTCTCATGCTTTGTTGAAAAATTTACTTATGTTTAGATTGGTTTGCTTCTACCACAGTATGAAAGATACCATACTCCAAGCAGCTTACATTGACCTTCTTCTATTCTATAAAGCATTTTTTCTTCTCTTGGTGAATTCCTGCTTAGTTACACCCACTGTGGAAAGTGAAAAATCAATTAAAAAACCCAACCAAAATGGAATAACAACTTTTTTAAGATTTTTTTCTGATTTGTAACACACTCCTAAGGGAATTAAAATTTGTAACTCTACCTGAAAAAAAACCCAAACAAACAAATCTTGGAGTAACTATTATAAGCTGATGCATACAGGGACCTACAACTATGTGGTTATCTTGCATAAAATTTTCCATTTAAAGTTTCTGGAAAATTAATAGAGTAACTCAAATGTTTATGAAGAGGTTTTTTCCCAGCGTTGCTCTTCATGCCTCAAGCACCACTTGTGGAAAGATACACCAGAAAAGGCAGTTCCCACATTGCAGCAGCACCACTTACTTATTTTTATACGGATAAAAAAACCTCTTCATAAGTAATCCAGTAGTTTACAGAGATGCTCTTTCACCAGAACACTTGTTTATTTAGTACAATATCATTAAATGGCATTCAGTATCTTTTACATTTCTCACTGCAGAGAAACTGGGTTCTGAGCCAGGCACAGAAGTTTTGCACGTGCAAGGACTGCACAAGAGGATTCAATTTTGCAAAGAGTCTTCAGTAACATAATACTTCTCTAACATTACCCTAAGTAGGTGGCTATGGTACCATTTCACATTGAAACTACAGCATCCATTTGCACAGAAGCAGCTTACTATTCAATTCTTATTTTATCTTTTTTTTAACTGATTGGTACCAGTGGAAAGGAAAAGTCTTCTATGCCCTTTAAAGCTGTCACTTTCACTTGCAGCTCAAGATATCTTTCAGTTAAAGAAGCTGAAAACGCAAAAGCACTGATGTATTTATATGTATCTGTCTCACTCAAAACTTTGAAATCAGTTGTATGTTTCAGTTTAGCTGAAATGTCAAATATTTATTTCTTGGTCAAAAAAAATTACAACTGAAATTAGAGCTAAGTCCCTTGAAGAGACCCTGTGACAGTATTTGTGAGACTTATCTACATCTTTGATCATTACATTTCTCCTACCTTTAGCCCTACATTTCTTGGCAGTTTTCTTCCATCACAATCTTAGTGGCTGTGCAGCACAATACAAAACACAGACCTGGAGGTATTTAAAAGACATGCACATGTGGCACTTAAGGACGTGGTTTAGTAGTGCACTCGGCAGTACTAGGTTAACAGTTGGACTCGATCTTAAAGGTCTTCTTGAACCTAAACAATTCCATGATTTTGTGATTTTTTATCTCTTCCCCCTCCTCTTAAACATCCTCCTAGAGTACACTTGTGTCCGAGATAGCACAGTGAAGATTACATACCTTGTACAGTGAAAACAATTAACCTTGCCATCAAGAGAAAATGCACAGCATGAAATTTAGTCATTGGGAAACAAAAGACTGTTGCTGTACATCTCCTAAAGAAGTCGGCAGGCATGTCATCAAGAGTGTTATAATCTCAGAACTAAGCGATCCTATAGCATAACCACTGGCAACAGTCCCGAGCAGGCAGAGCTTCCTAGCACGTACATGCCACTCTGAGGCTGGAGGTCCATTCACTAACGGCAGGCACGCAGAGACAACTTTTGCTTTCTGAATTGTCGGGAAGTGCCAAGTACTTACCACCACTGTGTCCTCTAAGAAACCACCTCACTCCCCTCCCCCAGCTATGCCAGCAACGGTCACTGACCCACAGAAGGAAACATTACCTGGATTTCCCTTGCATGGTACACGATGATGAGCCCGAGCAGGATAATGGTGGAGAGGCTAATAAGGCATTTCAGAGCAAGGGAATACAGCGACTCCTGCAAAAGAAAGAGACCGCCATCCCTCAGCGACACGG